TCGACCGAGAGAAGCGGCCAAGCATGGCCTCTAGCCGGGTTACTTGATACGTGTGGCGATGCAGTAAAAAAAAAAAACACAAAATGCTCAAGAAAGACACAAAATAGCCAAAGATTAGGAGATAATTGGAAAGTAGAGCAGGGGGGATTGGAACTGGCTTAAATTATGAAACTATCGATATTTTAGATATGTGATTTTTATCGGATAAATCGATGGGTTTAGCGGAGATCAATTGAAACAAGAAAAGGGATGAAGAAAACGGAGGAAGAGCGTTTCGATAACTTAGGTTTACATATTAAAATATATTTTTAATATCATATTAAAAACGATAAATCCAACGATAAATATTAATATTTTGTTAATTCAACAAGAATACTTACATATATCTCAAGAACTATATACTTAAAACTAAAACTTTAATTAAAATGTCAAACACATAAGGTTAAGCATTAACCCTTTACTGTCGGTTTATTTTTAAAAAATCTCGATTAATTAAAAAATCAACAAAAATCAATTCACTCTAAAAAATATATTTTTTGTCTGTATATTTTTAAATATTTTTTTTTTTTAATTATTATTTTTGTAACTTTTTTGTGTCTATTTTTTTTGTATAGTTTTTTGTTGTATATATTTTTGTTGTATATATTTTTTGTATTTTTTAAATCTTTTTTGTAATATTTTTGTGTTATTTTTTTTTTATTTTTTTATTTTTATTTATTTATTTTTATTTATTTATTTTTATTTATTTATTTTTTTTGTTAATTTTGTTGATATTTAATTTATTTTTTATATTTTTTTATTTATTTCTTATATTTTTTTTTTTTTTTTTTTATTTATTTTTTTAATTTATTTTTTTTATTTATTTTTTTATTTTTTTTTTTTTTTTTTTTTTTTTTTTTTTTTTTTTATTTTTTTGTATTTTTTTTTTTTTTTTTATTTTTTATTTTTTATTTTTTTTAAATATTTTTTAAAATTATTTTTATATATGTTTTTATTTATTTATTATTATTTTTCTTCTAAAAATTCCAATTAAATAAAAAATCGATAAAATCACAATTTGCTAATATAATTTTGATGAGTAGAAAAAATGCAACTAATTGAATTTAATGTGAAGCTCTGTGAATAATTTGGAGTGCATTCTCTGTGAAAGAAAACAAGTGAAGACTGGGTTCCGGTTTTTCCAAAGAAAATTGTCACAAAAATGCCATGAAAGGCGGCATTGTCAAAGGAGTTTTAGGAAATTAAATAAAGGGATGGTTTTTTCTTTAAACTACGCCTTATATGGGGGTCGTTGACTGCCCGGTTTTTGTTATATATATATATATTTCTTACAAGAGAAACCCTCAAATATGTCTCCTCAGTGGTAGAACTATTACTCTACCGCACTTGTTTCAAGTGTAGAGCACATATGTATGTACCTATTTCACTCTGCGGCACACATACACGTTTTGTATATGCTCTTGATTTTTATCTTACTCAGCGGGCGAGGCATAGAATGATGTGGAATAATGCTGGGCAAAGATGAGGGGGAAAGGCGGCGGCGAACGCCATGTGGCAGATCTTAACTGAACTGAAGCGAACTGAACGGAGCAGAGCGCAGCATAGCATAGTAGCATAGTGGCATAGTAGAGAGGCAGCTGACCCATGAATATGCATTCCCCTTGCCACAGCACAACATCCAGTTCCATTATATTTATGCGAAACATCTGTGGGAACTGCGACTGTCACTGCCTCTCTCTCTCTTTCTACACTATACCGAGTTTGTTTTCATTTTCGGTTTCATTTTCATACAGACCGGCAAATTTGTTTGCCAGCCAACCAACCAAGCAATGCACAGTGGTTATTTATTTATAGGGATTACTATTCAATTTTTTAGAATTAAATTGGTTTTATTTTTAAGTGAAAATAAAGAGTTCAAAATGATTTACTTGGTTGGGAATTTTATAAGCAACAATGAATATTTATAATATAAATTAAAGTAAAAACAATCTGTATTTTTAATTCCCCAAATATTTTAAAATAAATCACAAGATCTTGCTATAATATTCAATTGTCAAGTATTACAAAAGATAATAACTAAATAAATATTAAAGAAATTTCAAAGATTATTTATAAATATTTTTATATTTAAATTGGTTTAACTTTATTATAAAGACCACTGTTGTTGTTGGGGGGATGATATAACCAAGCAAGCAATCAACTACTTAGGGCCGAGTTGTCTGCACGACACACTTTTCGCAACTTGGCGATGCATTCACAGAAATTAGGCAAGTTGCAGCTGAAAATGTACACTAACAACGGCTAATGGAGACCGAGACGGAGACGGACACGGACACGGACACGGACACGGATGACGGGGGCAAACGAAGCTGAATGGGATGGGAATAAGAGCCGCAAAGTTATTGACAGAGTTGGCAACATAAATTCGAGTTAAAAGTGTTTAGCGCGTGGATTATTAAGCCACTCGTCGAAGTTGAGTGCGCGCAAACTTTTCCACTGCCGCCACTTTTCCAGTCAGGTGTATGAGTTCTGGAACGAGTTCCCTAGTGTCAGGTGAGCGGAGGGAAAATGGGATTTAAATTTGATATATAAACATGCTACAGTGCACACGCTTTAGGGGGAAGCTTGTTGTTAAGAAAAGTGAATTTTCTTATTTTTGAAAATAAAAATAAATTGTATATTGAAATACTATAAATATATATTGTTTCGTAAAATTAGAAAATTAAAAAAAATATATATTAAAATTCGTATTAATATTAAAAAAATAGTATCATATTAATTAAAAATTAATTAAATTATTAAATTAAAAAAATTAATTTAAAAAATTAAATTCCAGAGTTACAAATAGAACTGCATGTAATATCAGAAACACCAACACAATCTATGCTCTCTAGGGCCGGCAACCGTTACTTAATTCCAGGGAGGTTAGAACCAGTTGGGAATTATATATGCACAAGTGTGAGATTTTTAGATTACACCATGGTTTTTATGCAACAAATGCAATTTTCTACTTGAATTAAAAAAGAAAACTAAACTGAACTTGAACGAGTTTTCTTAAATATGAAGTTATATTTTTAAAAGTGTAGAAAAGTTCACCAAATCGAGTCTTTACCTAAGCCCAACCTGGTTATAAACTCCAGTCAAGAAATTTCTTATGAGGATTAAGTAGTCGTAACTTGCAATGATGTTACACAACCTGACATTAGCTAACCAAAAAATATATGTTTATGAAAACTTTACCTCGAGAATTCCCTAGACCTAATGACAAGCAAACAATATTGATGCTAAATCGCATTTAAAATTTCCTCAATTTAAATTTGTATTAACGTTTAGTGTTCTCTTCTTTTTTTTTTTTATGGATTTGGCATTAAGCCGTGCTTAGAAAACCTTTACTTCCTACGACCAACCGACGACCCTAATTAATTCATCCATCTATATTTTCAGGTAATAAACCGTCCGGATCTCTGGATCTGTGCCAGGACATGCATACATATATAGCTTAGATATATATACATATAGCGACAGGGTCTCATCAAGCACATGATGCCGCTACCGCTCTGCCATATAAGACTTGTAAACATTTTAAATTTGAATTACGTGCTCTGCCTACTAAGCCAGAGGCAAAGGCAAAGGCAAAGGCAGTGGCAGTGGCAGCATCAGCATTGAACTGGCGGAAAACAAGGCAAGTGGCTAGGAAAATATTTTTCAAATGAGCAGCTAAACTTTCACTCTGCCACCGAAAGCAACAAGCGCTCTTCTCTCTCTTTTCCTATGTCTTTAATTCGGAAGGATTTTGTTTGGATGCCAAGATGCTGGGATGATGGCCTGGGATCAGGTCGTGAGATTTCCAACAGGAGCCAGAAGGCACCTCCAGTCCCACACACACACCTCTTATCCAGCGGATGGGAAAGTGTTGGTTGGTTTTTTGATGGCATTGCCTCTGGCTGCTGAACTCTGTTGTACCTCCTTCCCAAAAATTTCAGCAGCCAAGAAAAATTAGAAAATATATTAAAGTGTTTCACACACACGCACATAGTACAAGCAAATCCGTGGCTGAAAGATACAAATCAAGCAAGGTAGAAGCGTTGGCGGGGGACAGATGGCAAGGCTTAACTCTGACATTAGTCCCGCACAACCCACACACAACACCCAGCAGCAGCACACACACACATCAAATATAATTGACTTGGAAATGTAAGACAAATGTGCGAAAAAAAAAGGGAGAAACTCAGGGGCTGCAAGGCGACGCGATGCAGCGTCTCCTGATGAAGCTGTCCCGGGGGAAGGATCTTATCGAAACGTAAGGCTAAGAATGGGTTTTCTTAAGGGAATATTTTGATTAAGGAGAGGAAAACGTAAATATGTAAGAAAAGCTAACTAAATAGTCAACATTTAGATTTTTATTTTATAAAAGCTTAAATCTGGGTCTTTAAAGGAAATATTTCAATTTACTAAAAGAGAAAGTATATTTTAATTATGAAAAATTTTAATATTTTTTAATTCCTCAAAATAAAACCAATGAACCAAGATTTATTCCACTAAATACCGTAAATACTAAATGAAAATTTACAAAATGAATTAAATTTAGTTAAAAGGGAAACTCAATCTAATTTAAAATCCATAGACATTTCTCTTGTATTTATTTGTCTTAAAATTCCATTCCAATTGAAAGTCTATACAAGAAACTTAAAATAACATTTACACTGGAATTCAAAACTGCTGTGTTCAGTCGAGAGGAAAATGAATTCTTCTTTTTTTTTTTGCGTTGTGTGTCTTCCATGTAATGAATTTACAATTTTTATTTCCATGACAATGACAAAATTAAATTGAAGTTTTGTTGGAAATAACTTTTGGAAAGGTAATTTTTCTTGAATAAATCAACAGCGCAGTTTATTGATTTTATTGGAAATCATGTATTGCTGGTATTATTTTTTTTATTTTTATTTTTATTTTTTTTTTTTGCCACCCCTTAACAAATTACAGGGCTTTTTGTTGGCATTTTAATGTTGATTTAGCTTGGTCTCGGGTAGAAGTTGTGCAGCATCAGCAACAGCATCGTCACCACCAAGAGCACCCAAGAGCATCCAAAGAGCAGGCACCACGTGCGCCAATATTGCCTTGGGGCGGGAGCGTCGAAAAGGCAGAGGGGATGAACAACCCAACAGCACTTGACCCATGGCGATCCAAGGGGGGAGACTTTTAGATGCCAAAGAGAATACAATAAGAAAGTATTCTGCAAAAATTAAGACAGACTATTGTATACCCAGTGATTTGTACTCTAAGAAAACTTAATCGTAATACTTAAAAATAATTTATTTTATTTAAAAGTTTTCTTTTAAATTATAGGAATGGGGATATTTTTTTTAGAGAAACGTATTTTATATATATATATATATATTTTTTTTTTTTGCAAATTCACATTAAAATTCTCAAGCAGGAATTCAGGAACAATCTATTAATGAGGTTTCATTCTTTTTTCTTTATAATTTCAAATAAATATTTCTCCTAAATTATAGTAAAAATTCCAGGCTTTAAGAAAATGTATTTTTATACAGTTTCAAGTACAAAAATTAAAGTTTTTAACTTTCCTCTCCTTTTTATGCATTTCTTAAAGTTAGAACTGTAAGAAAACATCATCATAATCATATAAATCATATCATTACTCATGGCCGAGTAACTTTTCTCTACCATTAAAATGTACATACTTTTAGTCAGTTTCATTTTTTCTTGCCATTTTCTTCTGTTGTTCGAATAGAATGTCATATATACTTGTGTTCTGACATTCCCGAGTGTACAGAATATAACAAAACAGGAACAGGGAGGGTGGAAGGAGATGGGGTCAGGGGAACAAATGGAAAATGCGTCGCCAAGATGCATGTTTGGCAGTGAGTGAGGGTGAGTGTTGAGGGTGGTTGCACTTATTATATATATATAATATAAAATATATATATATATATATTAGGGGGTGGATATTACACCAGTTGCCACGTTTGGGTGTGCGTGTTCATAATGCAAATCCCCGCCAGGCGATTGGATTTAAATGAAATTTTATATAAGAGCACCCTCCACCCCCCTACCATATCAACCCACCGATTCCTGCAAACCAAATTGACGTATGAATGAACGCCCGTTCCTGGACGAGGGTGGAATGGGTGTGCAAATGAATGTCTGGGCTAGCTAGCCTAGCAGGGTCTCCTCCGACCCAATATGTTGGCCATTACTATATATACCGTTGAGAGCGGCGGAACTCCATTGCCCCCGAGGAGGAGTAATCGTTGCAGGAGGAATCGTGCCGGGGCTAATGTGAAATTTGTATGCAGTCCAAACAACGAGAGTCATTTCTTTTGTTTTGCTCCACTCGGCTCGACTTCGCTCTGCTTTCAGCTTTCTGTTTTTCAGTTTTTCAGTTTTCCCTTTTTTTTTCAGTTTTGTAATTTACTGGCCCTGCCCCGTTTTTTTTTTTTTTTTTTTGGGCTTTTTCTCTAGCCTTTTGTGGGCCTACTTCGGATTCCATTCCAGCCTAGGCAATTGGCGTTGGGAAAATAACAATCAAGTGTAATAGCTGCCGAAGACCCGGGGACCCCAGGAAATTATAAATGCCTCCGTCCTCCGTCTTGGCCCCCCTCTAGGGGGTCCCCCTTCTGACCATCATCATTGGCCATGTTCCTGCTCCGGAACAATACAGCACACACACACAGCACACCCCCGCCTTCTCCCCTTACGGCATTAATACTTTCAGTGTGTAAATTTCGTTGGCACTTTATTGACTTTATTTGCGGGGCGTGAAAAAAATAAAAATAATAAACTGCCCATTCGATCCCGGCAAACATATGTTGCTGCGGGCTAGGATGTGTGTTTTATACATATATATATATATTTCTGTTTGGGCCTAGCATAAAAATGGCTTAACATTAGCTGAAATTTAAAATATATTTAAAGCCATTTGCAGGATTAAGAACGTTTACTTGTTAAATATTTAAAAGAATTTTATGTTTAGGAAGAGAGTTTTGAGAGAATATTAGGGAGAAATTTAAAAGAAGTGAGATTTTTTGTTTTAAATATATCAAAAATATATTTTATTTTTAAAATTTATGATTAATTTATTTAAAATTGTAGGTAGTGTTAGTTCTTTAGAAACAAACATTTTATGGAAATTTTTATATAATAAAGTAAAGTATAATAATGTAGTAGTATATTTTTATAAAATATTTTTTATAAAATATTTCTTATAAAATATTTTTTATATAATATATTTTTTTATAAAATATTTTTTATATAATATATTTTTTTTATAAAATATTTGTTATAAAAATTTTGTTTTTATAAAATATTAAAAAAAAAATATATGTTATAAAATTTTGTATATAAAATATTTGCTATATAATTTTTTAAAAAATATATTTTTATAAAATATTAAAAATATATATATTTCTTATAAAATATAAAATATTAACAAAAATATTTTTTTTTTTTTAATTTTGTTAATAACACATTTTTTATAAAATATTTTTTGTAAAATACTTTGAATACTACTACTTTATTTTACTTTTCTTTATTATATAAAAATTTCCATTACATGTTTGTAGTATTCATAATATTTTATAAACAATATTTCGAATATCCCATCAAATATTCAAAAAATTCTTAGTTTCCCCTAAACAACCTTCATTCTCGATTATTTTCTGTGCCAAGTAATAACCTTAGAAAGCAAATATACCTTTATAAATATACATATATGTATTCCCCACCTTATCTAGAAAAAAAACCCTGCCCCTTTTTATGGTTTGACCCCCATACTGGTACTCTTATTTGGTGGCTGCATTAAAAAATCGTTCATATATGTCTTTAATTTTGTATCTTCATTTTTTCTTGCTGTTGCTTTTGCTTCTCTCTGGCGGCCCAAATGGTCTGGTGGCGAAACAGAAAAATGTGAATTTTATGCGCACAAAATTACAAAAGGCAGATGCGACGACGACGAGGGTATATGGTCCTCCCACTGTCCTCCAGTGCTCCACTCCCCTCTTATAATGCTAGGCATCTACTGGGGATGCTGGAGCTGCTTTTGCTTCTGCTGCGTTGGCGACGTGTTTGCGCCTATGTGGCTGCCAGTTTTGCCATCAAACCAGGGACCAAAACCAGACAACGATAGGCGGAAAGCAGGGAGCGATTGTTGTCATATGGGACGAGGATGCAGAAGATGAGCGGAGGAGTTGAGGCGAGCAGAGAGCCGAGCCGAGAAAATAAATCGCATTATTATGGCTTGCGTTTAATTTTTAGCAAAAAGAAACGCACATATGAAAAACCTAACAGACAGACACCCGACGGACAGATGATTTTTCTGCGTTGATTGCATTCAAGAGGCAGGAGCAGCAGCAGTACACACCAGTACCATGAATACCCACCTAAAGAGCTACGGTACCAGGGATCCCAGGCTGTCTCTCCCCCAGGTTCCAGCAGCTCCTCCTTCTGCTCCTCCTCCTGCTTGCTTGCCGCTTTGAATGCCGCTCCCTTATTATGGCCTAGACTCCATCTCCCTTGGATTCTTTTTTCTCTGCCAATTTAGAGAAATTAATGTTGAAAAAAAAAAAAAAAAAATGGTAGAAATTTAATTATTTTTAGGTTTTTGTGTAGGTTGTGTGTAAACAAAAGCAAACAAAACATATATGAAACATCTTCTCTTGGACAATATAAGCCACAGACAGACACAATTTGTAAACTAATAACGATACAGACATTTTTCGTAATAATACTTTGCTATGCTCGCATATTTACTAATAATATTTTAAAGCGAGAATTTGTTTTAAGGCAATGAACATATTTTGCCACCTCTAAAGGAAATATTCTTTTATGTTTGCCTTTAAATATAGATTTTCCTTAAATGGTTGTGGTTTTTAAGTACACTTTTTGGTATATATTTTATTGTAAAAGTACTAAAAGTGCTAAGCTTCAAGTGTTCTATATGCACACGTGTCAGTGGGAGTGTGAGTTTGTCCGTGGGTGCTTTGCACTTGCACTTTTCACAACTGCCTGGTCCTGGTCCTGGCCCTCTGGACTTGCGGACTCTTTCTCGTCTCTGTGATGATGGCAACTGACAGGCATTGATGGAGGACCAAGAAAAGGGGTTTTGGTTGGAAAAAGCGTAATAAAAAACAGATGAAACTGGGAGAAAGAGTAGTGCTGCTAGCACAATGTCTGCATACCCTTGGTTTATGCATTTAAATTAACTAAACTTTATGACAGACTTAAAAAAAAAAAAGAAATGCAGTGCATCCTTATGGAGTCTCTTAATAATATCCATAATAATAATTATAATAACAATAATTCCCTGAGGGGCAAGTGTATATAAATAGAAAAGCCAGATGGTTGGTGGAGGAGTAGGAGGAGGAGGAGGCAGAGTGGCTGGAATGACGATGTGCGGTTGATGCGAACTGACTGCCGCTGGGTGGCTTGATGAAGATCATTCGGGAAGTCTAGACACTATTCTTGTTTTCTTTTCTGCTTCTCTCTCTTTTTTTTTTTTTTTTTTTTTTTTTTTTTTTGCTTCTGTTTGCTGCTCAGCAGCGTTGATTGACAGCTGCCTGGCGGAGCGGCATTTCCCCCCATTTCCTACCCCTCAAAGTTCATTAGAAAATGCGCTGCTTAGTTGATATATTTCCATACTACAATCGAGGTGGAAAATATAGGAGTTTTGAGTGGGAAAATACAAAAAAGATAAAAATTGTAATAATTAAGTCTAGCTGAAGATTGTGTGCCATTGCGGTCATAATTTTTACTAAATGTGTGAAAGTATTTCTTAAAAAATAACACAATTATTTTACCAAAATATATAGTATATATATTCTTGATGAGGATTACCTTCTGGACGTCTGTCCGTCCGATTACCCGTCCGTCTGCGTATCCGTTCCTCTGTCCGTTCCTCTGTCCGCTCCTCTGTCCGTTCCTCTGTCCGTTCCTCTGTCCGTTCCTCTGTCCGTTCCTCTGTCCATTCTTCTGTCCGTTCTTCTGTCCGTTCCTCTGTCCGTTGCTCTGTCCGTTCCTCTGTCCATTCTGCTGTCCGTTCTTCTGTCCGTTCCTCTGTCCGTTCCTCTGTCCGTTCCTCTGTCCGTTCCTCTGTCCCTTCCTCTGTCCGTTCCTCTGTCCGTTCCTCTGTCCGTTCCTCTGTCCGTTCCTCTGTCCGTTCCTCTGTCCGCTGCTCTGTCCGTTCCTCTGTCCATTCTTCTGTCCGTTCCTCTGTCCGTTCCTCTGTCCGTTCCTCTGTCCGTTGCTCTGTCCGTTCCTCTGTCCGCTGCTCTGTCCGCTGCTCTGTCCGTTCCTCTGTCTATTCTTCTGTCCGTTCTTCTGTCCGTTCCTCTGTCCATTCCTCTGTCCGTTCCTCTGTCCGTTGCTCTGTCCGTTGCTCTGTCCGTTGCTCTGTCCGTTCCTCTGTCCGTTCCTCTGTCCATTCTTCTGTCCGTTCGCTTACCCGTCCATTTGTCCGTCTGCCTGTCCGTTCTTCTGTCCGTTCGTGTAAATGTGTGTTATTATATAATTTCCTCATTTTTTCCCCATTACTCTTAGAACCTATTTTGATGATACTGCCATTTCCAGTCAATTTTTAAATATTTCTAGTAATATTTTTGATTGCCTTTTTGATAAGTTAATTATAAAACTTTTATTTCCTGTTTACCCGATATAAAAAAAAACTCTCCCTTAAAAGTTTGCTGTGGGAAATCACGAAGGCGTAAGTATTTTAACATTAACATTCCCATTCACTACTATTTCCTGCCAATTTTTCTTTTGGCACTGAATGGCTTAAGTTTGAAAATACACACACACCTCCTACCTCCCCCTCCACTGTTTTTTTTTTGTTCTTTTACCGGAAAAAAAATAATATTGTCACAGTTTGCAATAAACGCACGGGTTGCCACCAAAGTGAGTTGCTGCTCCAACGCTCCCACCGGTCGTCGGTCGTCCCTCTTTTATGGCCATAAAACGAAAAAAAAAAATAAGGAAAACTGAACGCACTGAACAGGAGCTTGGATAAATTTATACAGCACATTTCATGCGATCAACACATAAATATTATTATATTGTATTTATGCGAAAATACACGCATGTCTATATATAAACCTGCGGGCGTGTGCGGGTAAGGTTTTTCCTTTTTCCGTTTCTCGCTTTTTCGGGATGTATAAATACAACCACACACTGTATAGGATGTATAGGGTCCTCTGAAAATGGGTGAAAATGAAAAGGGGGAAAATGTGAAATGAAAATGAAAATGAAGCAAAAGCAAAAGCAATTCGTAATTCAGAATAATACTTTTGGCGGGGGCCTTTCAAAATCAAACAGAGTTTATTTTAGGTGCAAACTACCAACATTGACTAGGGCAAAACAGAACACAACATGGCACACACACACAACACACAGCAGCACACACACATTCTACATACACCTATGTAGATGAGGTTGAAAGGCGATTCCTGCTGGTTGGCGGAAAGGTGATGGTCCCCCATATGGTTATGCCATTTTTCGCAGCGCCTTCTGATGCTTGTCTTAAGTTGCCCTGGGCCATAATCAACGCTGACATGCTGGCAGCACCAACAGGCACCAACTAGGTGCTCCTCCTGGCCAAGGATGGTATATGGTAGATGGTTGATAGCCAGCCCATAGTGGGTGGGTTGGCATATTGAAGGGCTTGCGGTTTGGACCACAAAGCGTCAAATGCGTGCTGCATACATAAATTCGAGGAGAGTCGTCGTCGTCGTCATCGCCATCGTCGTGTGTCGAGTACGTTTTGTCCACATTTGCTGCACAAAATAAATCGTCGGCAGACAACACACACAGGGAGATGATGATGATGATGATGATGATGGTAACCTCAAACAAGGTACAAGGACCAAAAACGCGATCTGACAGTCATTCACACAAAGGAAAGACCGGAAAAAAAATGAAGGAACTAAAAGCGTATGGATAAGATGAGCTCAGAGATGGGGTGGTTGGTGAAGGAGGAGGAACTTGCACCACCACCAAACCCCCATTACCTCCTTCTACTCCTTAAACCAAGAACATACATAGTTGGGCGTTACTTGTGGCCAAATGGCTTGGGTTGGAACCAGAATGACAACGACAATGACAACGAAAGGGGAATAACTACAACTAAGACAGCGAGAGACCGAATATGGGAATACCATATATGCTTTCCCCATATATTCCTTAGATATCTGGGCCAAGAAAATATACTTAATCGAGAGGATTTTATGATGCATGTGTCAACGAAATAGTTTAATAACTATATTTGGAAAAAAAAAAAGCAAATACCCTGCCTTAAGTTATTCCAAACACGAGTCAAGGCGAGAATGTGATTCTATGAGTTGAGGTTTTTTTATATAGAAAATAATAAGGAATTTATAAAACATCTTGGATTAAACTTGGTAACTGCAGCCCACAGATCTAGACTTTTTTTGTTCTAAAATTTTGATTTAAATTTCTAGAAAATATTTAAAATTATCTCCAGCTGTAAGATCTAGACTTTTTTTGTTCTAAAATTTTGATTTAAATTTTTAGAAAATATTTAAAATTATCTCCAGCTGTAAGATCTAGACTTTTTTTGTTCTAAAATTTTGATTTAAATTTTTAGAAAATATTTAAAATTATCTCCAGCTGTAAGATCTAGACTTTTTTTTCTATAAGTTTGAATAGTTTCGATTAAAATTCAAACCTACTTTAAGGATAGTTCTTTCAAATTTTCCAAAAAAGAAAAATTATAAATACCTCCAGCTTGCAGATCTAGACTTTTTCCTTTGCACCTCTAGCACATTTATGTATTCCTAAGGACATGGAAATTGTCTTTCCTGAGATAGATTTCTGGCAAATTGCATCCTTAAAAGGCCAAGCTATTTGCTGTGTGAAAGTTCCTTGGCGAAATCGTGGCCAAAATGATAATACCCACTGCCACCGCAACGATGACTATGATAACAGCACCAGAAAGAGCCAGAGAGCAGGGAGCAGGGAGCAGGGAGGAAGGGAGTACCAGCAGCAGCAACTCGAAGGCGTTGGCAAAGGCGGAAAACCAAAATCAATTTGAATTGACAGACCACAAACAGGGGGAGGGTGTAGGGTGTAGGGTGTAGGGTCGTTTTTGGGTTGGGTTGCCTCTGGATCGGAGTGGGCGGGTCACCGATGCGACTAAACAGGGGTTACTACAGTATGGCTAAAAGTTTGATTTGGCACGACGACGACGACGACGACGACGACGACGACAAAGCTGCCTCCTCTTCCTCCATTGCTCTTATCCTTATACTCGTCCTTATCCTCGCTTTTTTTTATGATGCCTCCTCCTCCGCCAGCTCCTAAGATTGGGGGGAAGGGGGTGCTGGCTGGCAGTGGCACATTAATACAATGGACTGTCACATGAGCGTCATAAAAATGATGGAGAACCAATGAAGCACGGCGGCAACAGCAAAAAGGCTGATCGCTGAAATCGTCTCGTATGTGTGTGCGGTTAGCCGACTTTTTGCCCCATTAGAGATGAGTTCGTGACTTTTTGGGCCGAAACTTGTCCATTTATTAAAACTTTTCGAATAGGTATTAATAGGGTAAGAGATTACACTTGAAGTAATTTCGATTTTCTTATAATTTAATTGGGAAATTAGCGATAACTGGGCTTAAATTGAATTATTTTACGTTGGGAAAGGGGAAATAAATGAAGTACAATTTTATTCTAAATATTATTTGACAAAATTTAAGGTTTTTGTTTGGTAAAGAACTTAGTAAAAATTTTATTTTAATATTGATATTTTGTTAAATTAGAAAACAGGCTTAAATTTATTTATTTAAAGTTTAAGAAGTGGAAATATATGCAGTACAATTTTATGAATATTATTATTTCACAAAATCTAAGGATTTTATTTAATAAAAAACTGAAACAACTAATTATTTAATTATTTTTTAATTTTAATAAATTATTTTAATTGAAAAATTTAAATTAATTGGGTTTAAATTGATTTATTTTTATTTTAAATAATTATAAATAATATAAAACGACCAAAAACAATAGGAAGGGAGACTCTACATACGAAAAAAAATTAAAATTAAGCCAAGAAACAATTAAATATAATTTAAAACTTAAATATATACATAAGTAAACATATCTGTAATTATATTAATAAATTTTACAATTTTATTACATTTATTTCCATTTGTTTACACTTTAAAACCCATTTTTCTTACTCTTTTAGTTTCTATAGTATTTTTTTTTTGTAGTGTATGATTCATTTTAGTGTTGGCATCACAAAATTGCCATAGTCTTAGAGCCGTACGTGTGCTCTTAGTGGCGAAATCCGAGTGTCCAATAGCCTGATGGGTCCGAAAATGAAAAGGTTTCTCTGCGGGGGGAAGAGGCTAACACACACACTCTTTAAGAGCCCAAGAACTAGAGGAGCTTTCTCTCATTCTTCCTTTATTTTTTTTTTTTGTATTTTTTGAACCAATGTTTAAACTAGAAGAACAGCCAAGAGCCAGCAGCAGCAGTGACCATAATTTCAACTTACATGCACTCGTATTGGCCAAATGAAGCCTGAAATCGGATTAGCCTGTTTGTCGATGCGGCTTATGCGTACTTTGGCTATATGTATTTATGTATGTTGTTTGTGTGTGTGTGTGTGTGTATTTTCCCCAACAGCCATGCATCGAAGATGATCCCTTTGCTGCTGGCATGTCCTTGCTGAATGGGTCCACTCTTTAATGGTGAATGGCTTGGGTCACCTTACACTTCAGCGCCATCAAAGAATATGTTAAATGTGGTGAATAAAAACGAACAAAAAAGCAAAATAAAGTTAAGAAATAAAGTTTCAAATGCTGGGAAATGCTTGGAAATGCATGAAAATGCCACAAAATGTCTGAAAATGCTTGAAAATCCTTGTGAAATGCTTGAAAACTTCAGTTGCAAACTGAATCAGTCAATCAATCAATCATGAATAATAATTAAATAAACCTTATTACATTTTCAAAACCTCAACAAACCGTTAACATTTAAGTTGTCAGACACAAAGACACAACATTTTCCGGAAATGTTAAACATGAAAAGTAATTTCATTTCAATGATTTATATTTAAGTGAAATAATGGTCTTGTCTTCGACCCTAGCTTAAGTGTAATTATTAAGTGAAATAATACAGACAGTTAAATTTTGGTAAGACGAGACGACCGGTGAAGTGCAGAGATGTGTACATATCCATATCCCTGCGAGGCCTATGTGTGTGTGTATCTCCTCCACTTGCCAATTCATCTGTCATTGTTATTTATGACATGTGAAGCTGCCGCCTAGCCAATTTGGCAATTCGAATTTGGGTCTAATCACCCAGGCATTTTGGGGCATATTAATAACCTGCCATAAATGCCAATTCGAGGAGACGGTTCCTCCATTCAAGATGAAGAAATCAAAGGTATTGGCTGCTAATAAGCCATATCGATATGTATAATTCATGTGTGAATTGGCAGCGTTATGCATTCGATTCCTCCTGGCATTCCTCTCTCTCTCTCTCTCTCTTGGTTGTATTTTGGAGCTATATTGGGTATATATGTATATATCTATATCCAAGTGCAGGGGGATGGAAAGCGATTAAGATAAGCATTTGACGCTAATGGAAAAACACAAGCATCTCTCGGCAGTGCCGCCTTCCTTCTTAAATGAGCCAAGCAATGTGACACGACCTGTCCTCTTCCGAATCCGAATCGATAAGCGGAACGCATAAGGAACGCCATAAAATGTAGCTGTGGAAAAATCGAGGGCTTATGGTATATATACCATACCAATGCCTTGGCGAAGACGAAATCATTAATTTATTTAAATGAGCGCTACGTGTTATGACGACAGAGGGTGGGCCAGGCCAGGACCTGCCTCCTACCTGGACAGATGGATCCCTGCAGCCTTCTTCTTCCTCCCTCCTCTGGTACCTAATTACCAATCGATGTCATTGATAAGCTAGCGCAATAAATGCGAACGGAAGCACTACTGGGAGGCGGCGGCAGCAGAGAGACAGAGACCTTAAATTACATTGGCATTGCTTTAATTAAATTTCGTATTGCCATTTGATTGTTTGTTTGGCCAACGGACACAGGCAGCAGCAGCTGGAGCTGAAGCTGAAGCTGGAGGATGGTACGTACTATAAGTACTACGGATTTGCAATCGTTTTTCCACGCACGACTTGCTTGCTGCCGGTTCTTCTCCCCACATTTTCACTTCTTCTCCTCATGGCAGCTGGTAGCTTGGTGGCTTCTCCTCTCTTCTGTCTCTCTGCAGTTTGGCTTTCGGCCGCGGTCCATGGAGCACGACGGCGTGCCAGGCGGAGCAGCCGGAGCAGCAGCCAGCACGTGCTTAAAATTGCATTCATTCCGCCGTTTGAGGAGCTACAGTGGAGAATTCTCTTCCTGCTCGACAAGCTGCTTCCTTTACGAGTGTGTTTTTGTGAATATATACACACAAGATAAAATTTGATTAATAATTCTTTTATTTA